GGCGGGGGATGCCTGAGCAAAACCTGGAGGAGCTAAAATTGAATCAGCCGGGCCCTTCAGTCCATGCCTGAGAAGGAATGCAGAGGGCAACACCTGGTGACTGAGCACGTAGTGAAACCTGCACACAATACCTGGGGACAAGGTGGCAACAAATACGAAAAGAAGCTTTTCACGACGCACACACTTTCCCACCTAGTGATTCTACTTGCAAACGCCATCCTAAAAAAGATATTAAGTAAATGTCCAAAATTAGCAAGCAAATTTTGGTTAGTGTTAGCTGGATTACAAAGAACTAAAAATGGTTTACGTGTACAGCAATAGATTTTTTAAAATAAATCCTGGAACATGATTCCACACCCTAGAACACATACACCCATTGACAGTGATTCTGTATTTACTTATATAAGCAATCACCACACACTGTGAAGGAAAACAAGTTTGTGAACTAGTGCAGTATAATCCCAAATACGCTGTGAACATGTGTTTGCACCCGCGTGTGTACATAAGGAACTGTCGGGCAGGAAACACTGTGGAAGGCTGGGCACCAACCTGTCAGCAGTGACAATCTGTCATGTCTCAGTGCTGCCATTAAAAGTCACTTTACTTATTTATACTTTTCATTGTCTTCTAAGTCTTTCCCACAAATATGCAATGCACTGATCACCAGGAAAAAGTCACCATTTGTAAAATTAATTTTCTGAAGTATAACAGGGATAATAGAAAGGGGCTAAGATTTAGCTTCAGGAAATGGGGATGGTTTCCAGCTCCAGTTTAGAATGAACTGACTGTTGGGGAAAATCTCTCCCTTTGGTAGTATACTTTTATGCCTTACTCTTAAACATGTGTACTTGCAAAATCATGAGATTTAGGGAACTAATTTCAATTTCCAATCACTCTGAGTGTAAGTGCATGCAGAATAATCTACAATTAGACAGATACAAAATCACCAAGTGCCCCTTTGCCTCACTCATTTACCCAAGGCCTGCTCGGTGACTGCCTGAGATGCACCAGGCACCAGAACACAGAGAAGAATGGGGCGAAGAAAGCCTTTACCCTGCAGAAACTTCCAGGCTAGGACGCAATCAGAAGGCAGTGGCAAACGTGTGATAATAGAGGGATTTACTGTGCTCACAGAGGAAGGAGCGTCTAGTTGAGATGGTGAAGTGGTGGACATCGTCCAAGAAGGCTTCAAAGAGACAGTGAGGTTGAAGCTGAATTTCATAGGGTGAGCAATAATCTGTGTATAGGGACACCACGGTTGTCCCAGCTGAAATAAAAGTACACAAAAACATGACGGCATAAAATGATGATGGTGGTAACCATGACGGCAGTGTCAGGGTATGGACAGTGATGGAGTGGGTGGTGATGGTGGTAGTGATAGTAATGATGTTGGTGATG